TGCCACAATAAATGACACAAGCGGCCAAGTACCGAGGTGATCTCTCACCTCGTAGGCGGCCGCTCCTCCTCGCGAAGGCTCGCGCGGTCAATATTATCGCGGTGCACCGTGTGCAAATAGTCGCGCGGGATAAAAACGACGTCAGGCCGCACTTTGTTGCACTTCTCGCGCTCGAAAATGGGGCTGCTTTGGCATTCGAACGTTTCGCTGCCAAGGAAAAAGGGGGCAGAGACGGGACAAAGAGCGCGGTGGAAAAAAAAATCCCACTATCGAAGATAACGCGCCGGCGATCTCGGTTCACCCGCGGCAAACGTGGCGTCGATTCTTATCGGCCGTTCTCTCGACCCACGACTCGGTAGCGGGGAAAAAAAACCGACGCGGAACGCGGCGAAATGAGCTCGCGGGCGGACGGGAGGAGGAATCCGTCGTACTCACTGGCGGTTCCACGAAGATAGTTGAAAGCCGTCATCGCATGGTGATCGGGGGGTTTACGTTCACGTGGGCAACACCGAGCCGCCGCGTGTGACGAGCCGCTCCGCGGGGCGATTGATCGACGGGCGCGTAACCGATCCTGCCGATCCCCTCACGTCGGCACGAGCCATGCGGCGATCGAGCACCTGCACCCCTGTATACACGTGACTCAACAGCCGCCGAGCAGCCGACGCGCGCCGTCTGCCGCCACGTTCCCGCGCCGTCGCACGATCCGCTCTCGCGCTCGGGCCCCGGCGTGCCCGCGCATGCGCCGCGGTGGCGAATTCGAATCTCTCTCGCGCGCGCGCCCCTCCGTCGGCCGACGCGTCCCGACGCACGGAGAACCCGGAACCGGACGTACAAACTTTGTACGGGTGTAAAGGCCTTCACACATAAAATTCCGTAAGGACGTAAAACGTAAGCATAAGAAAATCGACCAATCACAGTCGAGAACGTAAGGCAATGACGCAAGCGGTAGCAAATCCAACCTGTTGATTTTCTTACGCTTACGTTTTACGTCCTTACGGAATTTTATGAGTGAAGGCCTAAACGCTTTGGTGGTGCTCGGTCCCGAAGTTTGCGTCTCCGCCCGGAACCGTGGCCCGTGGCCGACGACTCCGACCCGGTGTCTGCACGTTCGCGGCCCACGTTGATCCTCGGAAGAAGACCAGGCCGAGGAAGAAGAGAAGAACGGCGAGAGGTCCCTTGGCGTGCGCTCCGGTAAGACACTTGTAATGTAACATGATACCGCCGGAATGTAATATTGATTGCTAATTAACAGGGTTGGGAAAGTTACCTTGTAAAAGTATCTAGTTACGGTTACAGTTTGTTTTTTTCCGCCAAGCGTGCAACGCGTTACAGTTACGGTCACTCAAAAAGTAACGAGTCGTCACTTTGCAGCTACTTTCTTGGGATGAAAGTAAAACATCAGCCGAGGGGGAAACCGCTGACCAAAATGTTGTACACTAGTGCCCAGTGGGCATCACTTTGTCTCATTATCTTGTTTTATATCTTATTTTATCTTGCCCCAGCAAGGCCCAATGCCCAGTAATGCTCGATTGTTATTACTGTTGCCTCTCACTTCTCCAACATTATTCTTGGAGAACTACGCGAATCTCTCTTCAACGTGATTTAGGAATTAACTAAAGTACGTAAAAGTGCGAATTGAGAAAGTTCCATGAGATTTTCACCATATTCGAGATAAAAAATCGACGCAGACGCGCGTCCGCGAAGCCGGCGAGGGCATTTCCGGCAAAGGTTTTCCTGCGGGAAAAGTATCGTAGTCCATTCTTGTACGCACTTCTCGACTTACGTCCAGATGCCGGGTGGTCTTTGACTGCTCATCGAGAATTTTATTGTAGTCGCCAGAAGAAAAAAGTCGCAGTGTATAGATACACGCTTCGCTTACACTTTATTAATTCATTTGCAATACATTAATTAAGTCTGTTTAAATAGCATCGAGGCTACCTAACGTATGCCTTCGTGTATACGATAGACAAACAATCACCTAACTTAAACATCTCTTTCTCTCGTTCTCTCTCTCTCTCTCTCTTTCATTTTCATTCGCACACACGCATTCTTATTTATCTTTCTCTCTTTCTTTCATTCTGCTCGCTCTTCTCCCACACACTGCCTTCGTTTCTCTTTATCCGCTCCTTAATTAATCGATATCAATTATTATTACTGTTACCATTGTCTCTCATTTTTATATACTATATATATATAATATATATTTATTTATTTATACTATATATATATATATCGTAAGATCGACGTTTAAAAACTAAAATTCGTATAAAAAGCGTCGTTATTCGTACTAACAATGTAACTATTTAAATAAGAGTTGAATTTTAAAAAATTATTTGTTTCTGTTGTTGCGTATCGGTTTTGTCGTCTGAATATATGAGATGTCTAAACGTATCGGCTACTGTATGACAGTGCGAGGCGCGGTGCTCCAAGGGGCACTGCCTCTCGAGGAACAATCGGTAAGATCGACAAAATGCCCCACAATCTGCGCTTTATCAACTTACATATGAACTGATCGCAGTCTCGTATATTGCGAGAGCTATTTTCCTTCTCCACGTCGGTTGAAGTCAGACGTGATGTCGAGAAACTGAGATGACAAAAGCAGAAATTAGAAAAAAAAAGAGAAACGGAATAAAATTTCTCACGACTTTCGTAATATATATTTGAAATTAATACATCGAGAGTGCCCTCGCGATAAATTTAAATGCTGCACCTCGGGACAGATGGTCGTTAATAATTAAATTTGTAAGTTCCTTAAGATCAGAGGCCCTTAAAAATTTTCTTACTCTCGTCTCCCAGCAAGTCCTCGCGAGTGCGAAACCAACGAGCCACCCCTCGACGCGTCGGGACGCCGCAGAATTTAGAATCGTCGCGCAACCTCGTCTGCGATCTTACCGGATGTTCGTTCCTAAAAATTACGACGTTCACGTCAACGCTCCCGTTTCAGTCGCACCCCCGAACGATATTAATTACTTTATACTTCGTAGTCGCTCCTCCCCGCTGGCATTTATACTCTAGCTAATACTTTTACACGCTACGAATGTTTTTTTTTTCCTTTTTCTTTAAACCGTAATCATTTAGCACGTCACACTACGGCTGAACTCCCTTCCCCCGGGTTTCTCTCGCTATTACCAACTATTTTCGCTATTACGAGCAATAATGTACATCAATTACATACAAAACAAGATACAAGTGTTAATGTGCTCTCGTTATACACCGTCGACACCGTCTCGCGTAAGATGCTCGCGCTCACAAAGGTACCACGTTTATTATTAATCGGAGAAACTCGCCGCCGTTTGACGATCGTTCGCAGCGCGATGCGCCGTTTCCTCTCGCGTTTATTCCACCGTTGACGCTGCGACGACACTTTGTTCGAAAGATCCTCCGGCGATCGGCCGAGCGTCGATTGTAGCCCTTGGAAAACTCCGCGAGTCTCCGCGCCGTCGAGCTCGACTGGCGCGCGGATAAAATTCTTACATTACAATAATAATACTACGCACGGCGTAATTACGAAAACCTAGCTTTTCGACGACAATAAAAACGCAATCGCGTTTATTACTCCCGGAAAAGAATTCGTTCTCTCAAAGGCGCTTGCTGTGCAATGCATTCGTACAATCTTCACGCTGATTCGGACACGCTGATCAGCTCGACAGAGCCCTGCTCTCTGGCGATGTCGTCCCTGAATAATTTTGTCGTGCATATGCTGCGTTGATTCGGAACCTTCGTGACACTCGATGAACGAAAAGTAGGAAGCTAGATGGACGCGGCCACTTTCGTGGATAACGAACGTTTTCCGCGTGCGCGGTTAGTGATTTCTAGACAAGAAATATTTTGGGTCGATGAGCTTAACGCAACGCGAATCTCTCTAACGGCAGTGGAAGATTTTGGATTTGCACGCGCAACGTGCAGCATTCGGAACGCGACGTTGCGCTGCGTAAAATCAAGCAGACGCGAGTATTCTAGAAAGACTTGACGTTTCTTTTGTTTCTACGAGCAATGTTCTCAACGTATCGTTCATACACGGGATACGCAAGACCCAACGCGCGGTTAATTAATTAAGTGGAGAATAATCGCCGACTACGTTACAATAACCGCCTAAATTTCTTCTTTCAAACAAGTAATTGCAGTTACGACCGTTAAATCCCACACTTATTTGCCAAATTTTATAATACCCGCGAATCAATACAACAAGTCACCGTAAAGACGTATAGTCTTGGAATACTGATGTGTGAAAATCACGAAGAAATTTTCTCTCGCTTCGTTACATTACACTCTGCGTACATCATGCGTCTATTATACAACTCACAAGTTAAATGACAACCGAAACTAAACGCAAAGGACATGAAGAAAGCATGAAGAAACCGAAGTGGTTCTGGCGAAACGGTGTTAAGATCTTTTCCTTCAATTTGTAGCACGACGGTCCGGGTGACCGGAATAAGTCTTACTCGCACATTGCTCGATCACCTGTTCGCGGGGGGGGGGGGGAGAACGAGTCGTGTTTCTTTACGTAATCTGCGAACAAGAGTTATTCCCCTGGCTATCCAGACTATTGTGCTGCAAATTCAAACATTAACTTCGTTCATCGTTTTGTCTATTCTACTACTACGGCGAATAATACCCTTATCGTGCTCATCCGTGGGCAAATGTACGTTTGAATGTATGCATGTCGTGACATGTGTACAATATATGTATATAGATTCTGTATACATATATACTATATTCATATTCATATATACATATATAACTTCTCTCTTTTTCACATTTATTACTTTGCAAAATATTTCTTTCGCCGACGATGCGTCGGCATTAAGCCCGTATAATACAATCGCAAATTACACCTCTTTCTTTGTCGCTTAGGCAAATGTTGACTTGTTTAAGTACAATGACCATTCGCATTGCTCCGTCCCAATCGACGGGGATCGAAACGATGCGCGCGTATATCTCCTATCTGATTAATCACGTCGATGTCGAGCGAGGGTGCTTTTCACCGCAGACCAAGTTCTCGACCCAGGTTGCGAGGCTTCTCGCAACCTTAATCAATATTCGTTAAACCGAAGCCGAGTGTCCGATCGGCTGAGAGCTCGCTATAATACTTTACAATGAGTAAGTCTGACGAAAACCGCGTCGTAGGTGCTAACAAGGAAATGAAGTACGAGACATTCGTGTCACAGTATACCCGACGAGTACTAAGAGCGTCTTATAAAACGCGAGAAAAACGCACTCGCGCACGTGATGAACAGCGAGAATGGATGTGATAGGCGAGGGCGCACTCGCAACGATTACTATTACAATGGAAAATTCGATCGGCCGCTAGAACGAGGCCGACTAATGCTCGGAAGTGAAGTGGTAGGAGGGTGGATCAGTCCCTTCTCGACGAATGTCGGTCTATCGCGGTCAGTGACGCGGCGCGTATCCTAATAGTAGAAGTGAGCGAAGCTGTTGCAGGTGTTGCGCGAACGTACCGAGCCTCAGCTATGTGTTTGCGGGTGCGGAGGTGGCGCGCCGGTGATCTCGGTCCAGCGCATTTCGAAGAAACTGCGCATCCCGTGGCCGGCCTTGCCCACAGGACTGTCGTCCTCGTTGAATACCTCGCAGTTGATGAACATCTGCCTGACATCGGCGCAAAACTCATCGCGAGACTTGTACCTGCATCGAGAAGCACTCGTTGTGAAAAACTTCAGCCTTTCAATGTCGACCAAGGTTGACGATCGGTCAATAGATTGCTTTTTTTTTGCGATCAGTCTGTGTGTGTGTGTGTTAGATCTATTAGGCCTGTCTTAAAGACCAAGAGATTTTGAGAGGAAAGGCAGCTAAAGATAGTACGTTCACTTAACTAATCGCTGGCGCGTTTGGACAACTTACGCGGAGTCCTGCAATTTCTTCTTAATCGTACTGAGATCCATGGGGGTTTTTATGATTTTCTTGTAGGTCGGGAACTGTTTGGTGTTCACCGGCAGGAGGAACGGCCAGGCCTCGTCCTGCTGCTCCAACTGTTCGAGGAGTATCTTACAAGGCGCCAGCTCTCGTTGTTGCTTCTTCGTGAGCGTCCGATTGTTACCCTCCTTCCGTGGTGAGGCGGTAGGAGTCGGCGGTTCCGACGAACTGACATCCTCTACGTGCGTGTTCGATGCCGTTGATGGCGTTGGACTGCGGCGCAAAACAACAGAGAAATTATTTGCACGATTAGCTTCCGTTCTGCCCGGGAGGTTTCCCGTCATAAAAGCCTCTGGACGAATGCGCAAGGACGAATTGCATAAGATTCAATCGTGTGTCCGGCTGAGACGGGTACGCTGCTCCCGATGAATTATATGCGTTCTCTCCGACTCTCTGTCTCTCGTTCGCTCTTTATTACTTTTTCCGTTCTATTTTCCGCCCTCTTGCGCTCACTCGTTTTTTTTTCCGACTCGTCATACACGATCTGAAGGCGGATCTACCGTTACGATGAATATTTCTGAGAAAATACCTATCCCACAGTCGGCGATCGCAAGTACACTAGGCAACAACGATGTATCATGAATGTGCAGGGTGTTCCGGCGGAGAAACTACGGACAAGACACTGAAGGAACGGAAAGCCACTCGAGAAGCTCTATCAGTGGGCAACCACCTTCAAAGCACGGGGAAAAAAATTAGATCTCTAGCTTCTCGTGGAACACCCTGCATAAAAGGAAAAGTTCCTCGAGACGACAAAACTTCTCGGCGGTATAGCGACACGGGCCGAGGATTAAGTAGGTTATCGCATGAGTACAGTATACAGATAGTTTTCGTATACAGTTAGATTCGTTTTGAGATTACTTTATTAGGGAATAATACTTGTCCGCCATTTGCGGTAGCGTTGAATATTATCAAATCATTCATAATAGCTGTTTTCTAATATACTTCGCATGAAATGTCATATTAAGCCAGCAACTTGACAATGTTTGTTTGTTTTTAACGTAATCACCTAGCTGGTGGATGATCAGAACTTTCACTTTCTCTGGTGCCTCCCCCTTTGGTATGACTCCTTCGACTACTATTTCTCTTCTTTGGTTGTTTACTGTGGCAATTAGAGCAATACCATTTCCCTCGTGGCATCTGTAAGCAGGGCGTGTTGTATACAATAAAATCTCCACGTTTCGAAACATCGCGTCTGACTTTGTTAGATAGTAAGACACTTGAACGGAGATTTTGGCGATTACTCACTTTTGGCATGACAGGATTGTGGCAGTCAGTGTGATAAGCTCTAGGACAGAGTTCGCATAGGACCAGGTTTTTACCCGCTCTCTTTCCACACACCAAACAATTGCGTTCACCTGTTGCTTTGTTCATACATTCGTGACAATACCTGAAAGTAATAGGGAAAGTTTGAGACCCCTTGCAAAACTTAAAGGAGAATTAGACGGAAGAGTGTGATACGCAAGAGCGTTACTTACCAGTCACCATCAGGAATGTTTTCCATTTTTGGACGGAAACAATAAGTATGGTAGCCACGGTCACAGCCATCACAGAGCAGCAGTTTATCTTCGTTGTCTCCACTATGACAAAACTGGCAATTCTGCAACCAAAATGAATGAATTTCTCATTTAAAAGAGAGCGGAAGAATTAATCTTTCATGTGGCGCTAAAAATAGCATGAAGATTATAGCACTTGTTTGTTAGTTGAGCATTTAAAACATTTCTTTTTTTAAAGCAACGACAAAGCTCTATGTAGACAATTTGTGTGTATCCAATTGATAAAGCGCAAAAACACGATTAAAAATCGCGCAAAAATAACAACTAAATTAAACAAGATCTATGCATAATATAAATTAATTCAAAACGATTTAGTATAGCAAATAAATGTTCACAAAATAACAAATGATAAGGATAACATTTGAGTTTTGTTTCTCGTATATCACAGAACACAACGTATGCGCTATACGCATTCAAATTGTAATAAATATAACTTAAATCCGTGCAGTAATACAAATGTGAGCCACAGTAAATCAATCATAACAATAACAAGATTAGCAACGGGATTTTTCCCGAATGCACAGAACGTGAAAAAGCGACCTAGAGCTATGCAAATGGAAAAATCTAAAAAAAAAACGAAGATATATTAAACAATTAAAAAACGAACAAGCGGCAGTTTTGCATGCAACCGTTACGTTAGACTCTGACCACCATTGAATGTACATTCTTAACGCGATTTTCGTTTCGATTTATTATATGTATACAGACGTGTCTCAATATTCAATAATTCATATGAATATGACTCGTCAATGGACGCGAGTTTAATTTATGTGAATGCACATAAATTAAGAATGAATGAAACGAGTGTGTCCAGGTATATCGCGCGAACAGAGCGAAATCCAACGGATGTATGCAAATGTCATTGCCATATTCCTCGCACACGTGATACTAGAATTTTGTAATGAGACTGAAGGCGAACGTATTATAAGAATACTGTCGCGTGAGAAACATATCGTTTAGGCTCCGGTCATCGGATCGAGTAGACACCTGTCGATATCCATTCGAGGCGACGTACGCTCTCTGTGAGCCATTCAACAGGGAAAGGACAAAGGTATCGGGAACGGGAGTAGCAAAGAACGATTCGGTTAGTAAGTTAGTGCGAATACCCACAGAGGTCTGAGAAGTAGTCAATAGCTGTTTGTACTGATTGGTAGCTTTGAGTGAGACGCAGCGGTTTCGTAGCTTGGCGCAGACCGAGTTTCTAGCTGTTGTTAGACTCACAGCCTTCATGATGCTCTTGTCCCAAGCGATGCTGGCCTCGAGCATGTAGAGCGCCATAGCGAGTTGCGCCGACGTGTGCGCTCGTGCGGTCGCCTCCCGCCAGGTGTTCAGACCCCGTGGCGTCGTTTCCTCTGGCGGTGCAGGCGCCTGGTTATTCTGCTCGGAATTATTCGAGTTTGCGTTAGCGGCCGCCGCCTGTTCCGCCTTGAGGGCTGCTAAGTTGGGATCTCCCGTGCTACAAAATTGAAATATAATTAAATTATAGGCCTTTCGCTCAACAAATTTAATCAAGTTTTAATTGAATGCTTTTACAACGATAGTAGAAGAGACACTCTAATTAATCAAATTTTATTTAAGTTTTTCTGTAAAATATATATAACTACAATTTTTCCTTTTACCACTGAATGCTGAAGAAGTTGAGTGAATTATTTAATACCATAAAGGTGAGGTAATTGAAAAAATGCATCTTACCAAACGCCTAAAGGTGGCTTCAAGTATCTCCTTTCTATAGCTGCCTCCAAAGAAAGTAGCCTTTGCCGCGCTTGCTCGACCGCGCTAATCTTCTCCATTTCATTCAGCTTCTCAATTTCTTCGGCTTCCTCGGATCCCGCTCGCGGCGGTAGCTTCCAGCCTTTGACTTGCATGCTGGCGTTAGCCACTTTATCTTCAAGCGCTTCCACTTGCTCCAAGAGTTGAGCGTCTACTCGTAGCGCAACTTGCTCGCTCCAGCTGTTCGGATTATCAGGCCGCGGAATTGGCGTGTTGGAATCGTCCGGTTCTGCTTGGAGCTCCGTGGCGGCGATGTTGCCAGGGTCGACATTAATTTTACCAGTTACAGCCAGAAAGGACTCCATTGTGGCCCACGTTGTGCGTTTCAATTCCTTCTCGCGGACGCCGCGAGAATGTAGATGCTCGAGAAGTTCTTGAAACGTATCGACATCTGTTGTCCTCCACCAACCGTATCTCAGATCTGTGCAAAAGTCACATGATTAGAAATCTGGAAAATAGTGTCATTCGTGTTCTTTTTTTAACATTCGCAATTTAACTCGATTTACCTTTCGACACCGGTTTCGCTTCTCCCGGAGGAGGTAAACCGTGCACTTTCAAATACTCCAGTTGCGCTGCCTCATCTTGAGTCAATATCAGGGGCGCCGGACTGTCGCATCTATCGTAATTTGGACTAGCTGGCGGTGGGAATATCGGGATTCTGAGCTCGGTCGGCTCGGCTATGCCAAAGATTTGCTTAGTGCTCGGTCCCGGAGTATCGCACGTTTCACGCGGTAAGATGGAAAACCAATTAGGCTCGGCATTGCTGTTGTCTGAAATAATCGACATAACTGATATTAATTAGAAATATTGAAGAGTCTATCCCAGGCAAGGATTTATAGAGACTCACTAGAAATGAAAGAGCCGTTGAGTTCCTTCCCGTTGTGCAGATTATTCACGTGGTTGTACTTGTCGCCGTTCGGTATCGTCTCTACAATTTTATCCTCCATCGTTTTCACCATAGGCTTCATGTCTTCCTCCGTCTCGTCGTTCTCCTTCTTCATTTCCTCTTTCATATCGACATCCATACTGATCACCTCCGTTTCCTGTTTTATCTCCTCGGACGTAACGTTCGTCTTCGCATCTGTCATTGTACTATCAACGTCGTTGTTTTTCTTCTCCTCCTTAACACCTTCGGAATTCTCCGAGCTGCAATTTTGTACAGACTCTTTCTTATAGTTAACCTCCTCCACCTCGGACTTCAGCTTATCCCCGTGAGATTTCACGTCCTCATCCTGCTCACTCGAGTTGTGTTTCTTTTCATCTTTGACTTCATTCGGCGCCTCATTTTCACGATTTTCGGAATTCGTCTTGCCTTCGCCCTCTTGCTTCACCTCGGGCTTCTCTTCTACCGGCATATTTTTGTACTTCTCGTCGAGCTCGGCTTGGAGTTCGAGAACCTCCGGTTCGGCGCTCTCCATAGCTTCTACGAAGATGCCGCCGGCGCATGCTAATTCCCAATATCTTCTCCAATACCTGTCCTGGCCAAATATATGCGCGCGGAGTTGCTTCGAAGAACTGTTCAGCTTTTGCAGTTGTTCCTCCGATTGCTTCAGTAGTTTATCCAACTTCTTACCCAATTCTTCGCCAGACAAATTTTTATCCTCCTCCTAAATAAGAAATTTTCTTCAGTTAGTACGAATAAATCTCCAGATTAACTTAACGGTAAGTCGATGTTTCAAGATATACCTCTTCTGGCTGAGTGCCTTCACTCTCATTCTCAGACATATCTTCTACTTCGTCCTCGTGATGAATCTCGTCTGGTGTAGGGGTCGTACCTACGGCAGTGGACGTGGTATTACCTTCTTCCTCACCTTCCTTTTTCTCGATGGTGATTGTGTCGCCAATCTTGTTCACAATGACGCCCACAGCTTCCATTCGGATTTTTCGACTATGTAATTGTCTAAGCCTGTGAAAACAATAGATGATATTACAGAAACAAGTTTGAAAAAGCATAATTTAATACGTAAACGTATCTTTAATTAATCTATCGTCTCTCCACGTTTTTCTAATGAACAGATCATTTATGACAGCTTTTAATAAAATTATTCCGTCAGTCTCATCTTTGCATCAATTGTCTCTTCATAGCGTACAACTTACTTTCTGATTTTGGTATCCAGTACGAATCTCTCCTTCCTCAGCTGAGCCACTGTCTCGAGGCTACCCTCTATCTGTCTGATCACAGCCTTATTTTGCAGCAGCTCGTTGCAAAGGAAAGCGAGCATCTGCGCCTTATGCGTCGGATTCAACGCTAGGAAAGGCTTGTCCCGCAATCTTTCCGACATCTTCCACGTTTCGTTGTTATGTAAGTGCTCATAGAACTGCGCGTTCTTCCCCGAGCAGGTCGAAGCGTAATCGCCGCCGTTCTGATGATGATCGGCAAACTTCTTGTCGCGTTCACGCTCAAGGCACACCCCTGTCAGAGCTTTCACTTCGCCGGTTGCGTTCGCGTACAAATAAATTCGCAGTACTTCACTGATGTTGGCGTGAGTGATGTCAGCTTGACGCAAGCTCTGACCCAAGCCTGTGGTGTGTCTAGCCGGTTGCGGGATTCCCGGATCTTCAATGGCACACACCAACAGATGCGTCATAACCGACAGCATCTCCTCTTCGGCTTCTTCGTCGTTGAGAAGAGCGAGTTGGAGACTCTTCAAGCTGGGTAGCGATTCCATATCTACAAAAAAAAATAGAACGATGAAAATCAATCCCGATTAAAATTAATGATTTTTATTCTGACACGTGTAAGACAAGATGCTCTCACCGAATCCCAAGGTCTCCCCGAAATTGTGTAAAAATTCGAAGACCATGACGATGTCTGCGAACGCTTGTCCGGAGAGCTTAAGTCCAGGTATTCTTTTGATTTCTGGCAGTGGTCTGTGATCTGAAAGATTAGTCGGAATTAGTTGGAAGGAAGAATTTGTTAAAAAATGATTGGCCATTAGTCCAAAAGGTCTCGTTAGAAATGCAAAAACTTGGCACTCGAGTTCTTAGCTCACTACGTAGTAAGAGCAATGTTCTCATGGCGTGGTATCAGTCACTCTTTTGTTCCCGTACCTGTCAGCTCCATATCCTCCACAGGCTTGCGAATTTGTTCGATCAACTCCATCTCGACTCTCCTCTGTTCCGCTCGCTTTTCCTTCGTCGCTATCCTCTCGGCCCTGGCCTCCAGGCGTTTCTTCTCTTTCTCCTCCATCTTGCGGCGGTTCTCCAGTGCCCGTACCAGGGCCATATGCTGCCTCCTTCTCTCCCTTTCCTGCGGTCATCGTTCATTGTTACAATAACGCGCAGCAAAACTAACTGACGCGCTCATGCAGGTCATATCGAATCAAGACAAAATTGTGAATGTAGTGTGTACAGACTCTTCGTGGTGTATTGCCAATAAAGCGTAATTTGTGTACGTGTGTGCGTGTGTGTATGTGTGTTTGTGTGAAATGGAAAATCACGAGATACTATTACTTTTTACGTATACTTATTTCTTCTCTCAACTCAAAAAATCTTGGAGAAATCTAAGGACGTTGAAAAATTATATATATATATATATATTTTTAACATATCTTCGGCAATTTATAAACGTTTTCATTGGAACTTTTAAAGAAATGAGAGAACTGGGATTTTTATTCGAGTTATACAAGTTTTATACACAGTTCCCGTGATCTTCCACTCTGCATCTATGTCACGCACGGACAACGGGCCAAACTCTACAACCGTCCCAAATACTCTTCCACGCATTACATTACGAACAATATTGTTAAACGGATGCACTGATAGTCATAGGAGAGCAATCCCGGCGCGTCGTGGCGGAAACCGCTCTTTTACATTTACAGTGCGCAGAAAACCGTGCAATTTCTAGCAAACCAGATCTAGCGGTCGTCCGAGCTACGCGAAACGCCTCCATCAGTCCTGAAGTACTTAAAACTCTCAAGAGAAGTTTCTATCGAACGCGTCGTTACATGGCGAAAGACGAGTGAGAAATTTTCGGTCCCCTAGCGCTCAACTCAGAGGTGCGAACGTGTGTTTTCCTTTTTTCGCAGAATGTAAGCTTATGAACCGCAATGATTTGTGCAAGCTGAAGCGGGTTACAGATTAGGTAAGCGAGCTTGTTGCGTTACGAACAAAGGTGTGGTATGCCGAGATGTTGAGCGATACGTGTAAACCGCGACACCGTGGTCCGTACAGGCCGTCGTTAGATCTCGAATTGACGCTCGAGAGAGAAATGTAACGCATAAGCCGTTCGCGTGCACGCCGCCAGTATTCGCGATGTAACGCAGAGCCGATGCCAGTTAGTTGCACGAGAGCAAGTCGCTAATTCGTTAATGCCATTCTGTTAGACGCTAGATTGGGTATGTGACATACCAGCTCGACGGTGTAGAGCATCTCGCGCTGCTTGGTGAGCTCCTGCATGTACATCTGCGGCACAAAACACATCCACAGTCCACTAGTGCTCAAACCGCCACACTCAATCTAACAATCTTTCCCTCGCTCTCTACCGTGTAGATGTTCTCTACTTATCGGCTATCCGTCTGCCGCGGAGAGTTAAATCGTGTCGCGAAATCGGCAGCGCGATCAACCCTTTCGCGATAGGATTGTCGGGCAATGCGCGGCATGTTATGCTGAATTGACTTTTCCGACTTCAAGATCAAGCGGGCGCGATAAGTGATCGCGGGGTGTCTCCGTCTTCATCCTCGTTAAAGTCAAGCTCGTTTGGAACATGTAGGACCGTCGACCTTTTTTTTTAACGAGAAACTTAGAATCATCGAAACTTCATTAATTTTCAGTAGAATACAAAGTGTTCGTTATACTAAGTACGACTAAATGTCTTAGCAATGTGATTCGTAATTAATTCAACGGTTTAATTAGTTCTATTAGAAATTGATAAAAGGATTCAAGTTTTACCTGTTCAAACCCGTACAGCAAGATGTCTAAAAGACGACTTAAAGACATCTTAAAGACGTCTTTGAGACATGCGCGCTGTATGGGAAGTTTTTTAATTTGCGAACATCCTTTAATTTCCATTGTATATTATGATATTCAGGTTTCCCTCAAACTGTTTGTTAAAACACTACTCAAAATTCGTCAAACAGTCCGCGATTGAAACTTTATTGCGACGAAGATTGGACATCCCGCGTATGATATGCATATGAATTACGCTTTCCCGAAAATGATATATTAATCGCATCAGCAATTTTACTTTTCCATGTCGATGAACATTGATCGTATAGATAGTAAGTTAGAGCTGTGGATCCGAAACACAGAATGTTAGATTCTTCTAAGTGAATATTATATTTGAATCAGAGCTTGCTAATCGCTGAAGCGACGTGTGAAATAAGTAGCATTATATTCCCTCTGTGCATATGTAATTAATTTCTTTAATGTAATTTCTATTCAATAATTGCCATATTAAAGTAACACATAGACTTGTTCTCCAAAAAAAAAAGACGAGAATAAATGCTAACGTACGACGCGCTAGTTTCAAGACCGGAAATAATATGAATTTTCCAAAACGCAAAAAAATGTTAATTCTTAAGAAACGTGTATAACTCTTTCGCTTTAGAATACCAAATATTTTTAACTCGCAATCAGTTTTAAATTACATCTCTATTAATATTCATGTCGGATGAAATTTTTCGCAAAAATCTCCGCAACGTCGAAGTGTTCGAATTCAGAGACGTTTCCATTCAAACATTCCTAATGAAAACTTGCATGCAGAGTACACGAAATTTTCACTACCAGCAAACACCGTTTCCGAGATACGATAATTGATGAGCTCTATTACGGAAAATATTCCGCCTCTCATACGTTTGCAATGTCTAAAATAATTATTTGGTGCACGCCCCTCGGCAAACAAGGGTCTCCTTCCCCGGTACACTCGATCCCTACGTAAAATCAACTTACTTCGGTCTCATCGTAAAAATAAACGGGGAGCAACGAATGAAGGCGATAAAAGTAAAACAGAGCACCTCTACGTCTACGAGAGACACACTCACGCACACTCACGCTAGATCTACAGCGACGAAACGATTGGCGGGGAACGATTCGTTTTAAGACGAGAACTCACCTGCTCTTTCAGTATGACCGCCTGCTGCCTCTTCAGCTCTCGTTCCTGAAGAATTAAAGGACGATTTTAATACAACTCCGGGAAACGGTATTACGCTCGCGGTGAGTCGTTCGTTCGCGTATTACATCTAACTTTAGGCGACCCGAGAAGAACCGGGTCGGACATTAACATAGTAACGATTGTTGAATTACCTGTTGCTTCCTTTGTTGTTCTTCCAGTCGGATCTTCTGCACCTCTTCCTCCCGTTTTTTCCGTGCCTGCGCATACGCCATACACACGTAACTCGCATCCGTAATCATGTTTATCAAGAGAAAACTTAGGCAATTTTGTTCTCGTTCGCGGGACCGCTCGGCATTTACGACAAGAGAAAGAGACATTGTTTCAGCGACGAAAGCTACTACACATATCTCGTTTACCGGCACTGATAATTTGATAATTGCAATCTAACGTTTCCGTACCCCCCCCTACCGATTTCTTGCAGCGACGATCGAGAGGGTTGCAAGAGCAGAGAAGCTATTTTATTGCTATAAAAAAGGGTTCTATTTCACTTTATTAAAATTTTACTTGTAACCGTTATCGAGCATTCATCGTTACATTTCAGAAGCGAATCTATGAAAACCATCAAACGTTCGGGATCGCACATGTAGTCTGTAAAAAATTCAAGAGTTTTATTTTAAACCATTCCCCCCCCTCCCGAAATTTTTTTCAGAAATATCCGTGAATTTTTTAAAGTTATATATACATTGCGTTGAGTTGTACAGAAATTAAAATTACAGGGAGAATGTATCACAATTTTTAAAACTTCCCGACCGCTGTTTTGTTTTACTGACGCTCGTAAATATTTTTCTTATGAAATTGTTGAAAAAAAAAAACATTAATTCAATGGACTTTTCAAAGCGACCGCCTCGATTTCCGCTTCCTGATGTGCAATTACGTTTCTCCGGACGAACGGAAATGGATCCTTATCGAAATCGCAATCGGACGAATAAGCTAGCCGTACAAGTTCCTCATCTGCGAGAGGTTTTTTTTCCCTCGGGTTTTGATTTTTCATGACATTCACAGTGTAATTGTGATTCGAAGACTACGTGTGGAAAGCGATGTCTAAATAGCGCAGATCAGTGACAGGGATTAAGCACTACTCTAAAGTTCGGGGATGTAGCTGGAAAAATTAGTACGGGTGCACTTTTGCATTTTAACGCCACATTGTTTTTATAGCTCTAGCACCAACCCTTCCTGGGAAGGCGCCGTAACTTTTTAACAATCGAATACTCGACCGAACGTCGAGTTGAGAAGCTCCGGGCGAAGTTGATCTCGAATTTAAAGAAGGAACAACAACCTACTTTTCCGTTTGCACCCTTAGTATATTAAAGATCGATTAGATCGCTGGAGCGTCGGAATTACAAATCGTATCGGTGCGTCTTTCCCGGCTACGGTCATGCTAAAACTCTGAATCTACATCTCTGCTCTGCTAAATGCCCGTAGTTTACGTTCGTCTCCGTCGACTCGGCGATCCGATTATTGCGCTCTCGTGGGCTCTTTATCATCGGATATGCTAGGCTCATCGTGACAGCCGTGAGATAACGCACGCTCAGTTTCTACATACCGATAAACATTGCATATTCAATTAGCGCAATAGGTCCTTGTGAAAAAAAAAATCCTTATACAAAGAGAGTAAGAGAGAAAAAGGGTAGCAAAGGCATGCGATTTAATATAAAACCCCATCAAGAGAGTGACGCGTGTACGTCGAGACAGCAGCCAAGCATAACGAAGACCGACTCGCTCGTGAAACAACTGAGAGCGAACTCGACAGCAAGAGAGAACACGAATCGAAATAATTATATTTAATCATTATATAAATAGGAGTAAAAGAGAGCCAACTATATCGAGAGATAATGAGAGAGCGTAAACTGTTATTATAAACCAACACCATTATACAAGATGAACAGAGACCGAAGAGAGAAGTAGAAGAATAACGTGGAAAAGTGAAAAAATCTCAGCCGAGCATGCAAGGAGCCAAGCAATACTCGCCTATGTATGCACATATTATATCAACGGTACAATGTGTACCGTCGCTTAAGCTGATAAAATATTAAAGGCTATCGTGTCGTGTCACCTAGGAATATAAAATGTATAACAGTAGATAATACATAGTAATAAAAATATATATGTAATAATATGTGTATATATATTTATATATATATATATAAAGTATAGATGTCACACATATATCCATTACGCGGGTAATTCGTGTGTCGTTTTCGTCCGCAGTACAACGAGAAGGTAAAGGAAAGCTCTTTGTATATACTCGTGTAGCGAATACTCCAATACTAGAGACAGGTTCTTTCGAGAAGTATTGGCATGCTGGATAATCATGTAGCTAGCTGTTATTTTGTATAGTGACAGGAGAAGCTAGGCACAGGATAGCATTGCGAGACACAGTCGGTTCATATATTATCGTATATATCGTGCCTACGTATATCGTCAGCCTTAACGTGCCTCGATCGCAGTGTCGATCTAGCGTCTGGATCCCGCGATTCTCGATGGACCCGCGCTGCTTTCCACTTCGCTCGGAAAACGTGCCGGCCAACGAGAACACAAGATCGATATCGGGGGAGGGTGCTTCTTCTTTATAATCTTTCGGCGGACTTCGGATTTCTCGCCCTTTTCATTTCGGGAACGTTTAATGGACTCGGCATAAATTTCGAAATGCGCGCTTCGAATTACATTGTGGATGAGCGTTGGATAAATCAATTAGCATCGATACAAGATTTTTGGCAGAGCTCCATTTTCCCTCTAATAGAGAGATCGAAGCGAGTGCGCAACAGTGGCAGATGTTAATTTTGAAGTTTTCACTCTCAAGTCAAAAACTCATAGAGTATGCGTGAATTCAAATTGAGCTTATTAATAGAGTAATGATATCACGGTGCAAAGAGGAGAAACGAGATCTCTCTTTCATCGTAAAATTTTCAAAATTTACATTCGCAATTTTCGAATGAATTATTCACGACGAAACTTGCAATTCTTTTATTAGTCCGTAGATCTGGGGTATAATTGAATAAACCTGTGTCATTTTCGAAGATGCTTTCACAGATAACACAATAAACGATCATTGATAGTAAGACTAGAATTCCGAAATCCGCTTGGCCGGACGAAGAGATCGGCCACATTCAACCCCTACGAAAGCACGGTGGGAGCGTCTATATGCATGTATGTGTGTGTGTGTGTGTGTGTGTGTACGTATGTATCTTTTTATATAAAGTAGGCGGGGGTGAATTTACGACGCCAGTCGCAGGTTCGTCTCTTCATTTTGGTGATACGCGCAATCGTCACGTTGATCAATCACGTTGAAAACTTTGGAATGTTACAACGAGAGCTCGAAAAATCGTGAATTATGATTGGGAAAACATAACGACTAGAGGCTAGTGTTTATGAGAACATTGAACGACGTAAAGTTTTATGCACCGACGTGATCTATTTTTAGCTTCGTTTAAATAAGATACTTAGACGTCTAACATCCAAGATAACATTGCTGAGATATATTTCGAGAAGAATTTGACAATTCGTCGATAGATGATTGTAAAAGACAAAGCGAATTGATGATAACTCGCTGGGTAACAGTTTATTTCATTGATTTAAGAAAACTCGGAACCATTCACAACTATTCTTTTTGTGACGTATGGTTTACAAAGAAGAAGAAAGAGTCGATGTACTGAACTTTTCATTTTAATTTCCTTCCCATTGAGACGGAACATTTGACGGGATCATTTTACCGTGGATAATAATTTCTCACAGCGAAACGTTGAAAAGAACGTTGAAGAGACGACGAAGGCTGACGTAAAATGGTAAAATTCGCACGATACTCTCGTCTGCGGGAGCACCGGAAGCACTTATATATTATTTCACCCCACGCAAACACACGTAGAGGAATCGCGGGCCGCGAGCCGGGTATACTCACGGTAACTCTTACCTCCGGGGATCTCTTCGCCCTTCTATCGCAAACCGTGTCCGGATCGCGGGGGAAATTAAAGCCAAAGGGGGGAGAGAGAGAGAGACGGGGACATCCGGAAGTAATAACGACTCACAAGACAATATGACAACACTCATTAGTGAACATGATGTGGTCGATGGTGGATCCAAGTGGCGCATATGTCGGGATATCGAGCTTCGTGACATTACGTGAGGGGATATCAATGGGGTACGAAAGGGGAGAAATCGATGGATCCAGGCGGGCAAGACCATGGACGGGGGGGGGGGGGGGTCGGGATGCGTCATACGACATCTTACCTCCAGAAGTTCCTGGCTCTGCGTCTGGGTCTGTGCCTGCTGGGTATTGTCCGGCGGCATGGTCGCGGTCGTCGTGCCGGTCGACGTGGTCGACGACAGGTTCGACGAGGAGGAGTTGGGCGTCGTCGGCTGCGGTGACGGGACGAGGCCCGCCGACACCGGCGGCAGGGTCAAGGTGGGATAAGGTGGCGGCGGCAGTACCGGCGGCACCACCTGCACCTGCGGAGGCGGCACGACCACGCCGGCGGCCAGGGACGGTGGCGTCGTCGTCATCGCGGCCGTCGTCGTCGTCATCGTGGTCATCGCCACCGGCGTGCAGAGCGCGGCCGTGGTCGGCGCGAGGGATGACATCGACGACATCGACGGCGGCTTCTTCGACGGCACGTCCTCGACGTCCGCCTGGTGCATCATGTCCCGGTTGCGCCAGCTCTCGGCGATGCTCTCGCGATTCTTCCAGATGGTGGCGACCGTACTGCTCGCCAGACCCAGCTCGCGAGCCACGTCGCTCTTGCTCTTGCCGCGCTCGATCTCTTGGATGATCTTCATTTTCTGCTTGATCGTGAACGCGAGCCGCTTTCGACCCTGCGTTGGTGGTGGGTTTACAGGGATGCCCAATATATAATCGATCGCGTTAATCGGGAGGAGGATGGTCGTTTAGTCAACCACGTGCGACCGGTCGTGCGCGGTCGACCGGCGGGGATTCAGGCGGGGCGATACGCGGAGATCACTTGGCGCGGACCGCGACCGTACGGTAATATACGAGGCTGAACTACAATGGCAATGGATTATTTCCCACGCCAAGTATATTACCCTGAGGAACGTTCGTTCGCAGGATCAAGATGCGAGTCTTGGAATGTATCACACTGTTTCACGAGAACAAATTAAAAGCGATACCATCGGCAAATTAACTCTATAGTCGCATTAACGACTTTAATAATCGCGACTTTATGAACTCCGCGCACCACCCTTAAAAATGACTAAAACACGTGTAACTCCGATAAAGCCAATTTTAAATACTATAAGCACATAAAAGCGGTTACCATTAAAAAGAGAAAGAAACACGCGACATACTTGTCGACTATTTGTGAAGATATAAAATAATATGAAACAATTTTCTCGACTATCTCTCGTAATGTCGAACACAATGTAACAACACAATGCACACATAACAAAATAATAATAACGTTCTCAATTACACCAATAACTTGCTAAATTACGCCAATCTTAGTTAGCTCGTCTAAAACGTAATGTGCATCGATAATGTACATCCGTTTCATATTTCGTTCTCTACGTCCCAGGGGGGAAAATCGATTAGGATCGGTTATATACGGACTGGGCATCCCTATTTCGCGTTTTTCCACTACATATGAGCCCACGTGTAGCTACAGTTACTACACTATTGTGTCGTCTGACGTCTCCTTCTATTCTTTCAAATTGCACGGGTTGTGTGTGTATGTTCGGGGCCAGTGATGTGCGTGTGGATGTGGAATGCGTGTGTGAATGCGAGGAAACATGAACGAACGAGTGACAGTGATTGAGGGGGACAGGGTGATAATCTGGCTTGCGCGAGGATTCCGATGGGGTAGTTTGGAGGACTATCACAATGGATGGACTTTTGAAATTTCTACAATCGCGCGCCTCTATTTCGCCGAGGTTTTCCCTCGCGCAGAGAAATTTCCAGAATAACGTCGATCCTATTAAGCACGTATTCCAATATCGAAATGTATCCTCGTCCCTTTTGCAAGACGTAAATTAAAACCGAAAAGTTTGTCTTCGATCTTATGGAATCCGATGCGGGAATCGGTAGCGAGTGGAAATTCTTTCTCGGCAATAACGATTCGTCATTTATTAATATTTACGCTGTACGCCTCGATACCTGAAAGTCTTGCGAAAGCTACATTTCCAACAACAGTATCGAGCGTCTTACACAATTGCAAACAATACAAATGATTGTGTATATTTTAGCCTTGTTGTTGAAATGTACAATTGGGGGGAAAATTATTTACAATTTTGGTTAAAAGATGACATTTTAGGTGGTACGGTTCGTCCGTTACTTCAATAACCGCTTCTTTGCCACGTAAATTTGCCGTTGTCAAAAACAATTCTTAATGAAATGCAATTATTTGTCTCATTATCCGGTGGCGTCGACAAAAATGACGGGAAACAAAATGTATCAACAATACTTCTGTTTACAACGTACATAAAAGCATCAACGGTATCGATTGAGAACACATGGAATTGTTTCAAAACAGATCTCGGTGTATGAAATATCGAATATCGCGCGAAGAATTTTAGAATTTAAACCAATATTGGCATCCATATTAATTTATTCACGATTCTCGCGTTCGCATTTACAAAAAATAACTAAAAATTCGGCGCGTGTATTTTAGTGCACGCCAAAAAGAAACAGTGGCTCATAAAAGGAATGAAACTCAACTATTCCTCTTATTAGATAGCTTGAATGCCAGAGCGATCACTTTTTTCATTTCATTTTTCCCCCCCTTTCTGTCAAGGTTGCGTTTGTTCTGATAAAAACGAAATCGCACTCAATTCTTAACGGTTTTGTTCGAGCGATTAAATGCAATAATTTGGCGAAATAAAAAGGGTTAAAATCAAAATGGGGCGGGGAGAGGTAAGGTTGGAGGACATGCTGGGTTCTCCTGTCACTATCGCTAGCGGTTGTTATGGGTGTCTCGTGTATTCTGGGACATTAGAGGTTGTAAGAGGTTCATTGGACGTATATAGTATAAGAAAAGAGTTTCTCTATACAAGAATATTCATTAAAAAAAGTCGTATATAATATGTATATATAGACAGATGTATATATATATACGGAGATAATATATATATGTATATATATATATAAATACGGCACACACAGAGAGCATGCGACACGCACGACAGGTGGACAAAATACAAAAAAACGTAGGTATCCCAAATAGAATAAGAGAACAGTTTTTTGTGTGAATGAAACAACGAGATCGAGACAAACGTGAAGGAAACTCGGTGGTAGACGTCGACTTACCTCGAGCAGCTGTTGATTCCTGATCTCCCGTTCTCGTCTCAGGGTTTCCTGCCGTTCCGTCTTCTCTTGCTCCTTAATAAGCCTACAATGAGGGTATCATTACGTTCACGTAATCCCCAAGCGGCAAAAACGCTCGAACAAATTATTAATCAAGAGTTATTCGTAACCGTTTGTCCATAAATTTTACGAACGCTCGAGGGAGCTCGAGTTTCAAATTAACGTGGCGATCCGCGACGTTCGCCCTTAGATTTTAGCTCGATATTATTTGCGATTACGCGCACGCAATAATTTACAGCGAAAAATAACAAATACGTGTTAATTAAACGATCAATATGTTATCGCGGAATTTCGAATCGAGTAATAAATTCGTCAGCAAGCGAGTGCATAACTGTTCTCACATAGTGGCGAGGTTGACATTTCAATAAACTTGATGATTTATTTGACTATTATCGACAATCTTCAACTTTCTACGATTTCATGAAGTGATCTCAACATCAGATAGTGACTTATGCGCGTCGGTTCTTCCTTTAACGCACGCCAGCAATTAATATTTAATACTTTCCAGAGATATATTGATTTATAAGCAATGATCAACGTGTTTGAATAATGTCTTACCTAGCTTGTTCTTTGTGCCGTTGCGCCTCTTCCTTCGCGAGTTTCTTCGCGTAAGCCAGCTTGTCTCTCTCGTACTGATTGTTCGTCCGTGCGTCTCTGAAACCGCCGGCCACTCTGAGGTCCTCCAATCTTCGCGCCACTTCCTGAGCACCGAGTCTGACGAACTCGGCGTCCGTTAGACCCATCGTCGGCTGCAGGAATTCCCCGACCAACGGGCGAGAGGAAAAGGAAAAATTGGCGGTTGTTAGCTCGGCTGGATTCTGATGCTCCAGAAACTGAAATAGGAAAGAGATCGCTTCCTGAAAGAGGACCGCCCAGCGGCCCGACCGATCTAAGCCTCATTCGCGTCTCGGTATAATTATGTTACTTCCTTGTTACGTTATGCGTACCGCGGCGTAAACGTCGCGATAGTAACGAAAGCGACGATGAAAAGTTTAGCAAAGTACTTGGAACTTGCGGCAATTTGATGCGAATCACTTTTGATAACGTACACCAACCATCACTGGTCGTAATATGTTACAACCAACCTTCACCAGATCGGGACTGCTCCTAAAAGTTTTCCCGCAGGGGCTGTAATACGACACGTCGCCTTTTATCACTCCCGTCTTCCCCAGTCCCTTGATAACCGTTTCACGCTTCCAACCGCGCTCTAACGGCATTTGAAGGTCTCTTTCGCTGGGCTTGAGCTTTCTCCTCTTCGCGCTGGGTGTGCCTTCTGCATTGTCGTCATCGGTGTCGGTGACTACGTCGGTGTTGCTGCCGCTCTCGCTGGTCACGTCCATGTTACTCTCTTCTCCCGAGGCCTCCAGCAACTTGTTTTTCATTTTCTCCTGCAAAGATTTCTGTATAGGGAGAATGGTTTTAGTGCGAAATCATAAGTAAAAAAAAAAGAAAAACGAACATGGCTCCTCGCCCACGAAGCACGAATTGGTCGAGGTCGCTTCTTCTTCTGTATCTTCGTTAGCAAGTGATAGTACTTTAACAAAAGATAATTGTAAAGATATGTGGAAATTAGACAATTACAGAAGTCAGAATAAAAGAATAGTGTTGTATTCAAGTACAATGTGATATTAAAACGTTAAAATTAACTCGTACGACAAGGATGGTTTCACGTTGAGCCTGGTAGCTCTTTTACCTGGTTCTTGTCATCAGCCTGGCCAGTGGCGACGGAAGCGTGCAACTGAGCCGCCAGTATATTCGATCTCAACAACGATACTTGGTGAGACAATGGCACACTTGGATCCAGAGTCGGAGTGGGCTTAATTCCTAGAGCTCTGCTTTGAGCCAGCAACGAGGCGACCGTGTTCTTCTTAGGCTTCGATACACCGCGGCCGAGATTTCGCGGCCTACCGTCCTTGTGATGGGTGGCAGTGCTCGCGCTCTCGCTCTCCTCGCTGCCGCTGCTCGGCCGCTGTGGCGAGTCCGCGGCGGCGAACAGCTGCGCCAGGGAGGGACTAGGCGACGCCGGCACCGGCACCGAGTTCTGCGGCACTCTCCTCGGCTTTGGTCCGGGCTTTCGTCTCGCTACGATAATTCGTCAAGCATTTTTATTGTCTCGATCATCTTCAGAGCAACCGACTTGAAGCCTTAAGGCTCCCGGGTGCTCGTCTCTGACGTTACGATTTCCAACGTGGAAGCCCAGAAGGCTTAAAGATGTGCAGACTTAAATGGTGAACTGTATACCGTACGTTTGCGAGATTGCTCTTAAGTCTTTCTACTTTACGAACAATTTTCTCCGTTGAATGAAAACACGTGGCGACTTTACGACTTTACGGCTTTAAACCGGTAACGTCAGTGAAAATTAACCGCGCGCAGTTGCTGTACTTACACGTTCGATCGGAGGCAAGTAACGATTGGCTTAAATTACTGAGCTGACTGAGCGGCTGACTACCGGAAATCGGCGAGCTACTGCTCGTCGTGGCGGGCTTCAGGGAGAGATTTAGGGGCGCGTCCGAATCGTTGATGCTGTTGTTCGCGTTGCTGCCGCCGCCGCTGCTACCGCTGCTGGTGTACGTCGGCGGCGCCGACAGTACGGAGCCGTTCGTTGAATGGGCCGGCAGTTTGATTACCTCCACTCGATCCACCGAATCTCTGTACTCGTTCGAGTCGGTCTGAGTGAAAGACGAAACGCACACGATTACACGACGTACTGCGCGTGATTGCATCGGACCCGTAGCGGATGTAAAATTAAGGGGGCGAATCTAATTCCGCGACTGAGCATCGATCTTTGCATGTTGATCGCGACAGAGAGTAACAGACTCCTTGCAACTTTATGTTCTTTCAATCTCTGTTTCGGAATCGCGGCCGACACGCGCGGCGACTGAACGTACCCCCGTGCGATTGTACTTCCTCGGTTCCATCATTAGCGATGAGGACGACGTCGTGTTCATCTGATGGGCGCTAAGGGCAGAGACGGGCGGCGGGTGTACGCTGACACTGGGAGTGTCCAAGGATATTGTCTTCTTCCTGCCGCGGTTCGTCGTCCCGGGGACCTTCGGGCCGACTATACTCGACGTATACTTGATAATCTCCGTGTCGGGAGGTAAGCGCACACCTCCCAATATACTGCTAGGATCACTGGAGAAAGCATCGCCGTGAAATTACTTATCCTAAGTGGACTAAACTACGTAACGATCATTGATCAGACGGCGAGAATCGTGAATTCAATTATATCGAGATCCAAAAACCTATACACTCGAACTCTACACGGAGAGAATTTTCTCTTAAAATTTACCCTGAAGGTCGTGCAATCGCGGGACCACATGGCATTTCGGGAAATTGTATGACAGTTTTTCTCGGTACATGTCTCGGTGGTCGATTTGCGAGACGCCCACCTAGTCCAGGTTCAAGGCCCTGTCTGGGATAGATTTTTCGCAATAAATTTCAAAATTAAAATCATTTAGACACCAACATCCCGGTCTTGGCTCTTATGTCCTTTATTACTTCGTATTTGTGATCTCGTGAAGTTCTTCGAAACGCCGTGTTGTCCCGCGATTGCACGATTTTCAGGGTAAAATTTAAGAGCAAATTCTGCCCAACTGTGCAACTGTAAATCGTACCGCGAGGGATCGGTCGCGTTAATTTGAACTGATATATTCACCTTCCTTCCTTCGCCGAACTGTCGCGATAGGGAGAACGAGAGCGTGGAAAATACAATGTTTTAGCGAGTTAGATGAGACCGAATCTGTCAGCCTTGCGTTTATTTTATTGAATACGCGAGTGCTGAGTGACCGCTCACCTGACGACGTTCGCTTGCGAATTTGGCGTGCTGCTGACCGAGGTGGTGCTGTGATGAGAGGACGTCACCGGCGGTTGAGTGGACACCGGCAGGCTGCTGCTCGTCATGCTCGGCGTCGTTGAGCTGCTACTGCTGGCCGGTGTCTTGTGACTCTTGCTTGACTTAGCTGCTCGGCCGTGAAAACGTAAACATAATTGTACACCTACGGTTCTCCGCCCGACTACGGATTAACGTCGGAGAAACGTCCCGCGTTCGTCTCGATCCCGGATCAGCGCGACTGTCAATTGTTTCGCAAGTAGATTCATAAACTTTCAAGAGTCTCGAGTTTCTATCTTATTAACAAGTAACCTCGTTTAACTCGAAACTTGGGAGCAACTTTAGAATTATATTATAACTTCGAATTTAAGTAAAAAAAGAGAGAGAGAGAGAGAGGGGGGTACGCGTAAAAGTGTACACAAAACACCTTGCTCGCAAAGTGGAAAATAATTATGGCGATAAAACGGGAAAGAGCGCCGTGTAGATGTAACCCGAGCGAATTTAAAAAATATAGAAATATACCGCGAACGTAGAAGCGGCGAGTGGAAATCGTGTCTCGCGTCTCGTCTAGGTTTAGCGTTTTAAGAAGAGAGAGAGAGAGAGAAAAAACGGTTAAAAATATACCGGTCCGGCGACCGTTTCCGGAGCGACGTTATTATCTCGAAAGGACTCGGCGATCGAGGATTAAGCGTTACGGAGGCGGGCGTTTCTCGAGCGTCGCGCCATGCAACATTGCCGTTGCGTCCGTGCATCGTTGTTACTTACACTTACTGGACTTGTGGGACGAGAGGGACGGGGGATTAAGTAGAGAGGCGGGATAGGGCGGCAGGAGGCTCTCGGCACCGGGCGGAAATCCTGGGAGTCCTGCCGCTCCTTGTAGCCTCGCGAGGTAGTCTTGCGCCGCCAGATGAGAGGCCATTGTCCACCATGCACTGGCTGCTGGATTGATGCCTGCAACACGAACAGGGGTTTGCCTCCGGTAAATCCGCCCCGGAGTCTATAAAATTCGATCTCGAAACGCGGCTCGGCTCGACGTCGCTCGATTGCCGTCTAGATGAGTCGGAGAGGCGCAACAAAATAACTTTCCAAGCGAGAGAAACGTCGTCTCGTTTCGGGTAAGCAAGCTCGCGATCTCTACAACGCGTCAAGACGCGCCTCTAATCACCTCGCAAGAAAGCTGCAGCTTAGAAAAATACTACATCGCGGGAAATACGGAACTTTAATAATGTTTGCTCGAGCCGAGGCAAAGGTCCTCGCGCGAACTGAAAGCCGCAATCACGGCGTATCGGTCGTCATCACGCCGTGATATTTCTAGGACCGTCCAAGTATCACACGGTGGCATCTCGTTATATTTATTACACACGTCGCGTTCGAAGTTAGCCAAGCGACGATCCCGAATTATCGCGAGGCGCGCTCCCGCGGAGTTGGTTTCCGCAGCGTCGCGTAATCACGATAATCGATGGGGGCTTAGAGAGCCCGAAGGACGAGCGCGAGAGGGGCGGGGTTGTGGCGGAAAATTCACTTACCCAGGCTCGCAGCTTGACTGGCGGCCACGCTGAGCGTACCGAGGCTGCTGTGAGGGTACGGGGACGGGGGTGGCGCCGAGGCTGGTGTGTGACCCCCGAAGCCGGGCGCCGAGCCCCCCCGGCCCAGAATGGCGTAAGCCGAGGGCAAATGGGGGGCCCCCAGGCCGTAACCGCCCGGCATCCCGCCGAAGAGCGACGACGCTGCGCTGTCGCTTCGAGGCCAGTATGCTAAAATTAAAATCGAGGAGAAACGTTATGAATGGGCGCGAATCCGCGAATTTGGCGCGTACGCCCTTACGTAAGCGCCGCCGATGAGCGACGCTGTCTCGAGGGGTCGCGTTAACGCTCGAGGCAGAAATAAAGTCGATTAAAAAAAAAAAAAGACGCGACGGTGTTCGCCAACGTGGATGTAGAGCTATCGGTACGGCGTAATTGGAGCCGTTGATTTTCTACTTTCATAAAGTAGACAAATAGAGTCCCCTATTATGGGATAAGGTTCTAACATGAGAGAGCGGGGTCGCTGCTAAATCAATAGGCACCGTCCGTTGGTTTCACCGTGGATTGGCCCTTGGAGTGAAATCCGTTTAGTGGGAAATTCATTGCTAGAACGTGCGATCGTTGCGAAAATAGATTTGTGGTGAATCTGGACGTTGGGAAACCCGCTATCTCATAATAGGAGACTTTCCTCTATAATTTCAATGCCCCTCATCTTCCTCTTATCACGTCGCTTGTCTTTGCATCGTTAAGGCCCGGTTTCACCGACGCTGTTTGACTTTAAGCTTAGCTCAATTCGTTCTCTGTCCCTCTCCAATTGTTACTCCGGAAAGAGACAAACACGAATTACACCAAGATTGAAGTTAAGCAACGTCCGGTGAAACCGGGGCCTAAATCGTTGTTCTACTCTCATTTACTTTCGGCGATAAGCAGAAGCTTGTCCAGGTCGCGAGGCTCGCAGCTGGCAGATAGACGCGGCGAACAGCGGTCTACGCTCGCCGCGACGGCGGAGAACCGCTCGCGCTTTGTGGAGCCTAGTTCTGCGTCACTCTATTCAATCGTCATCCCTTTGATTTTGTGCCGCCGGACGAACAGCGCGGCAACTGTTTTGCATAAACCCACATCGATGGCTAGCGCACCGCCCCCCCTCCCCCTCCCCTCCGCCACCCGTACACCGAGGGCGCCTGCCCGGTGGCGATTTGAGTAAATTAATTAATTATCCGAGAGCAGCGTGTATGTCATTTGTTTACGCGATAATGCCGCACGTTAGAGTAAGAACGCTAATTTGTCGCGCTCTACCGTGCAACGGGGAATGCATTTGCGCGTTCGCGGAAAAAATTTTGCGTCGATGGGGGGGGGTCGGAGGGGGAGAGGGAGGATACACCGAGGCGAACACGCACGTGAATCTCGCGCGCGACGAATAAATACATCGCTCATCGGGAAATGATTTCGTTACAAATGCACCGTAAATGTTTGCGAAGAGCTCGAGATTGTTAAACGCGTTCCGATAATTTTGCGAAATGTTATTTCCGTCCGCGCGAAATATTTTGTATATATATATATATTCGGAACGGAGGGGGGGGGGAGGGGGAGGGTGGAGGAGGACGCGAGTATGTCTGCAACGAGCGCGGACGCGAGTGCTTCATCAAATTATGAATTTTTTGCTTATAAATCACTTGCGCGAGGGGGCTCGCCCAAATAAGCCGGCCCCGTCGGTCTCCTTAACAATCCCCGCAATTAAAAGCGCCCCCCCCCTCCCCCTCCGCCCGCCAAATCGCGTTATCGCGTTAATGCCGTTACGCGCGTTAAATAATAACGACAACGAAGCACCCTGTAACGCAAGAGCGCGTAAATGATGTAATTGGGTAAATCGTGCATGCATGCGTGTTATAATTTTAGAAATTAAGTGCACGTGTCCGGTGCAGACGCGGCGGAAATAAATTCGCGGACGCCAAGGATTCGTTTCGCGATATCGACCGCGCCGATATCAGCGAAAACCTAAGCCGCGTCGTAAAAAAAAAAAGAAAGAGTAAAATTCCAACCGAAGTACCCGCGTATGGCGAGTGTAGAGATTGTGATTTGCCCGCGTGCCTCTTGTCGCGAGACGACAATTTTACGTCCGAGAGAGAGAGAGAGGAAACCTGCTGTTTCTGAAAGAAAAACGGGGGCCGAAAGAATTTCCCACCGCTCACTCTCGTTTCTCTTTCTGCAGAAGTTTGACCTTAACGTGCACGAACTGTCCGAAGATTAGGAAAAAGAATCCACTCCGCGATCCCGCGGCTCGTTAGTTTTGCGGGTGGTTGTACCCGATCGCTCACGTCGTATTCGCACAATTTATTGTTACGAATGCCGGCGCAAATGTACCGTTGATTTTCTACGAGTGCGTCGGCCTTGAGCAAGGCCGTGGCATTGAAATCCGACGCGCCGCTTTAATTTATACCGGTCGTTGAACTCCGCCCGGCTCCGGCTTACACGAACTGCTTCACCCGGCGAGCAGCCATCGCCGCCGTTGCAGCCGCATAATGGTTTACGTGCATACGCACATGTTTACAATGCACCGCCGTCATGAGTACGTTTGAATGAGACGCGCGCGCGGGATCAAAGTTGCATTCGTCATCGATTTTCCACGGTCTTTAAAACGCGACGCGCCGGGAGGGGCTCGGAGGGGGGGGGAACGAGCGGCCTCCGATATCTTTACGGGACGTTAAAAATTCGACTTTCTTTCCCCCCCCCCTCCTTCTCTCTTCTCCCTTCTTCGCCTCTCTTTTCAGCGGGGGCGTTCGTATGGTCGCGTCGCGAGTAAATCGCGGGGACCTGAAATTGGCGCGGTTCCAAAAAATGTCGATGCGCCGAGGAGATTCGATAACCGCGAGGGAAAGAGAGAGAGAGAGAGAGAGAGAGAGAGGGGGGGGAGGGAGGGAGAGAAAAGCGGCCGAATGATATTTGAAAAGGCATCGATCAACAGCCCGTACCGCCCTCGCGCTTTTTAATTCACTAAGGTCCGCCGTCGTAATTTCATTCACCGTCAATTTCCCGGATGCCACACAATACGGGGCTCGCGCGCGCATATACCGGGGCCGGCTTCTGACCTCGATTGTCCGCCGGCGACCCTACAATAATCGCGCGGAACAATTTTCTTTTCCTAATGACTTAACGACGGGCGGAAAGTCGTATCGTGCCCTCCTCTTTAATCCAGATGCTTTAACGGCAATCCATTATTCCAACGACCGACGACCGGCTAACGCATTAACCGTGGCCGCCATTTTTCGGATATACGTGTAGACCGCCCCGTTCGATGTAACGTTGCCGTGCCGGGGCTCGTAAAGAGAAGGCGGCCGATAAAACACGCTCGTTGGAAGGCGCGGCGACGGGCGCTTACACGTCCCATCGTCGCCTTTCCATTCGACATGAAGCGACATTAACACGTATTCGCGTGTGACGCGACCTATATATCGCCGGATAGAAATTACATCCGTATATCGGCGCGACACGGCGCGGCGCCTATAACGAATCGACGTTTTGTTTAGATTATAACGAGATGCCGCGGACGCGTACTCTCGCGAGAGGGAAGGAAGAGATACGCGGCGCGCTGGATCGACGAGGGGTTCAGATTGTTTTTTTTCGCCCCGTCACGTTCAACTTGTTTAATGATATGCCCGTCACTCGATCCACCTTGCATTCACACGAGTGCGGTATTTCCAATATTAGAATACGCATCAAAGCGCGCGCTTATTTATACATTAAATGGCAACAATTTGCGTTGATCATAGATTCCCACGCTGGAATCTCATTATACGCGCCCCGTAAATACTGTGTCTATCGCTTTAGCGCGTTTGATTAATTATATGTCCCACAGAATCATATTATTATTATTATTTTTACATTGGTAAATGTACGGTAATACGTGTAAATACGGTTATACAATTTATTTACGTATAAATCGGGACTTTATGTAATTGATATTAGTTTTTATTTCCTACAAGTCCGCGAACGAGTCATTATGGATGTAAAGTTTATACTTCTGGACTGCCAATTATCGCGACGCGGCCGCTAATTTGCCATAATTAATACCGATGGTTTATTCATACAAAATTAATCGGCGTATCATGCGCCACGCCAACATTTCTCTAATCACCGACGCTCAATGATAGCAGCGCGCATTTTCGCGTACGTGGAGGTACAAAATGCGTTACCGCCGGATTACAAGTTTTGTACACGCACCGGCATAAATGCTGTCCCTATCCTTGTGAGGTGCACGCACACAACTAGAGTCCCTGTAGTGCGATGTGCCCGACTTTATTATGACGCGTATAGATCGAGTTCAGGAAATGAAATTACAAGGCCGTAAAATACATTGTAAAATAGTAATCGTCTACCCTTTCTTTACTCTCTCTCTTTCTCTCGCGAGACATTCGAGCAGCTCTATCTCGGAAACAGTGGGGAATGGGACACATATTCATACGATCAATTTTGTTTAAAATGGCCGATACTATCACCTCCCAGAATATTGGCCTTTCCTCCTGGGACACCCTGTATATAGGAGCCGGAGGACAGGAGCACCGGCGAGAATCGCGCATCGAACGTTAACGGTACGCGCGCGAATACGAACCATTATTCCCGAACGTAATTGCACTGCACTTCGCTCTCCTTCCCATTACGGCGTCGCCATATAGTATCGCCCGGGTACCAGCATCCACAGACAGTTCCACGGCGCCGCGCGCGACTGAACGAGTCGGAACGAACTGGGCTGCCTGCCGACAGCGTTCTCCAAGATTTCACATACGCCTTGCGTCACCCACGTCAGCGGGACGGACTCCGTACACGTCACTCCGCGAGATCTCGAGACGCGCGCGCGAGGAGGAGGCGGTCCGGCCGCGTGTCGGCGAATTGAGCCGAGCGTTTTCGCGCGCCCGACGTTGTCGAGTTCAACGTTTAACTAGCTGAGGAGACGAACGCGGCTCGGGAGGCCCGATCGAGACGAGCGGGGTGGAGAGCGATTGCGATCGTCCGCCTCGTGATATCCCTAATCCGCCGCCAGTCACGCGCGAGCGAGGCGGTCGGAAATGCAGATAAGCCGAAGCCGGCGGCAAGTCGACGTATCTCAGAGGCCGCGGCGATGCGTCACGTCTATCGATTTGTGATTAAGCATTCGTACGAGCGAGCGATGGAAGGGGCGGATCGCGGAGGAGCGCGGCGGGTGGCGCGGACGACGTCGGCGGCGGCGGCCCGCGAGA